CTCAGTCTTCACCGGCAAGTGCTGAAGCCACATCAGGCAAAGGCAGGGACTGGGAGAATGAAGAGCCGCCCACTGTAGGAGAAGATCAGGTTCGAGACCATCTAAGGAACCTGAAGCTGCACAAGACCATGGGACCTGATGAGATGCATCTGCAGGTCCTGAGGGAACTGGTGGATGAAGTTGCTAAGCCACTATCCATCATATTTGAGAAGTCATGGCAAGCTGGTGAAATTTCCACTGGCTGGAAAAGGGGAAACATAATGCCCATTTTCAAAAAGGGAAAAAAGGAAGACCTGGGGAACTACAGGCCAGTCAGTCTCACCTCTGTGCCCAGCAAGATCATGAAGCTGATCCTCATGGAAACTATGCTAAAGCATGTGGAAAATAAGGAGGTGGTTGGTGACAGCCAGCATGGCTTCATGGCAAATCGTGCCTGACAAATGTGGTGGCCTTCAACAACAGGGTTGCAGCGTTGGTGGATAAGGGAAGAGCAACTGACGTCATCTACCTGGACTTGTGCAAAGCATTTGACACCGTTCCACACGACATCCTTGTCTCTAAATTGGAGAGACATGGATCTGACGGAGGGACCACTCGGTGGTTAAGGAATTGGCTGGATGGTTGCACTCAGAGTTGCGGTCAACGGCTCAATGTCCAAGTGGAGACCAGTGCTAAGTGGTGTTTCTGAGGGGTCAGTATTGGGACCGGCGCTGTTTTAACATCTTCATTGGCGACATGGACGGTGGGATTGAGTGCACCCTCAGCAAGTTTGCTGACAACACCAAGCTGTGTGGTGCGGTTGATACGCTGGAGGGAAGGGATGCCATCCAGAGGGACCTTGACAGGCTTGAGAGGTGGGCCCCTGCGAACCTCATGAAGTTCAACAAGGCCAAGTGCAAGGTCCTGCACATGGATCAGGGCAATATCTCAAGCACAAATACAGGCTGGGCAGAGAATGGATTGAGACCAGCCATGAGGAGAAGGACTTGGGGGTGTTGGTGGATGAGAAGCTTAACGTGACCTGGCAAGGTGCACTTGCAGCCCAGAAAGCCAACCATATCCTGGGCTGCATCAAAAGAAGCATGACCAGTAGGTCGAGGGAGGTGATTCTCCCCCTCTACTCCACTGTCGTGAGACCCCAGCTGGAGTACTGCATTTAGCTCATAAGACGACATGGATCTGTTGGAGCAAGTCCAGAGGAGGGCCATGAAGATGATCAGAGAGGGCTGGAGCACCTCTCCTATGAAGACAGGCTGAGAGGTTGGGATTGTTCAGCCTGGAGAAGAGAAGGCTCTGCGGAGACCTTATAGCAGCCTTCCAGTACCTGAAAGGGGCCTACAAGAAAGCTGGAGAGGGACTTTTTACAAGGGCATGTAGTGATAGAACAAGGGGTAATGGCTTTAAACTGAAAGAGGGTAGATTTAGATTAGATACAAGGAAGAAATTCTTCACTATGGGGGTGGTGAGGCACTGGAACAGGTTGCCCAGAGAAGTTGTGGATGCCCCATCTCTGGAAGTGTTCCAGGCCAGGTTGGATGGGGCTTTGAGCAACCTGGTCTAGTGGAAGGTGTCTCTGCCCCTGGCATGGGGGTTGGAACGAGATGATCTTTAAGGTCCCTTCCAACCCAAACCATTCTATCATTCTATGATTCTGTGATTCACGATACTAACTTGTGCATTTTTCCTTCAGGTAACATTTGATGTGGCTTGGTCTCCAGCATGCATAGATAAAAGGTGCTACAACTACACTGGGATTGCAGATGCCTGTGACTTCTTATTTGTGATGTCATACGATGAACAGAGTCAGATCTGGACAGACTGTATTGCAAAAGCCAATGCTCCTTACCTGCAGACTTTAGTTGGTGAGGAGAAAACACCTCCCCAGGAATCAGAACATTTCCATTTGTTCACATGAATAGATAGAAAAGATTGCCTTTTCGTAGACAAGTTTTTTGGTTGTATTAAGGCTTTTGAGTGTGCTCAAATATGTGTTGTCCTAATGTGAAAATAGTATCTCAGATCCTTATGACACTACGGATAGACCTTTAGCAGTTGTATGTTGTTACTTGTAAAGTAATTGTCTAGCCCTCATGATTATGAAGAGCACTTTTAGAATGACAAACGGCAGCCAAAGCAGTTGTCTGCCTGGGCTTGCAAAGAACCTGAAACATTTCTCTCATCCTTGTGAACTGCTGCTATGGGCAGCTGGTTTTAAGTGTAAGCAACTAGAGCAGTTACTAGGATCTGAATAGAGCAAGTCTAGGAGTATGCAGGTGGGAGGTAATGAAGAGCTTGCACCTTAGCCTCTGTCTGGGGATCATGCAACTCCTGCATTGGCTCTGGCTCTAGATTAGTTGTAAGAATAAAAAGCATGGGAAAATGAATAATGCATCTTAATTTTTATTTCCTTCAAAACTAGGATATGAAGAGTACATTACTATGGGCATTGATCCTATGAAGCTTGTGATGGGCGTCCCCTGGTATGGCTATGACTATGTCTGCCAAAACCTATCTAAGGTAAGATGAAGATTATTCATTTACAATCGTACTGTTAATTTTTTCCTTGGAAAGAGACAGCTAGATTTCGGTGATCCTGTTTTTGGATTAGGAAATACTATGGTCTGATGGGTAAGAGCATAAAGCTGGGACTCAAGACAGAGACTTTTGCTTGGCTGATAACTGATGAGCAGTGTGTTACCAAACAAGGCTTTTATCTCTCCCTAGGCAACCTGAACCCCATGATACCCAAGTGCCATGTTTGACTAAGGAGCTATAGATGTTATCTGTATGAGAAGAGATGATGTCCAAAGGCACTACAACACTTTTATCTGTCTTCTTAACACAGTCACTAAGCTCACTGCTTAAAGACGAGGTGCAAGAAACTATAGCAAACCTATGACTGTTAAAGTACAGCAGTTTATGGATAAATCATGGAGTCTCAAAAAACATTATACTTATGAAAAATGTAAGACTAAATTAAAAGTGGAAAAGATAAGACAACTGTATAAGTTAAATGATGTCCATCCAATCCTGTACTACTACAGAGTAAACAAAATTTAACTTTTAATTTACTTGTGTCTACAAACAGTATGTCTGGCACAGATACTTGATGGGATTTTTGAGACCCCAGTGCCTTTTGTGACTTTGTTCTGGGCTGTACTGCTATTTTTGAGTTCAATAAATCTATGTAACATGAAACTCATGCTTTCTGCTTTTTTTTTCAGGATCATGTTTGTTCCCTTTCCAAAGTACCTTTCCGTGGGGCTCCTTGCAGTGATGCTGCGGGGCGTCAGGTCCCCTACGGAGCAATAATGAAGCAGGTGAACAGTTCTCTTTCAGGGGTGCTGTGGGATGAGGTACAGAACTCTCCGTTTTATGAATACAAGGTAAGCGTCTTTGTAAGACACCATGTTGTGGAGTAAATGTTCAGGAACTATAGTTCTTTGATTATAAAGTTTTCAGGGTTAGAGTCTTCCATTTGTGTTTTCTACTTCTTTTTTTCATGTAGTAAAGGATGGCTGGATTTCCATATCTTGAATTTCTAGTCTGAAAGAGGGGTGCAGTGACTGAAGACTACAGGATTAATAAAGACCTTTATTACTTTGCAGTTTCTCGAGAGATTGTATCATGTCAACAAGGATGTTTTGGCACAGAGAAATCCTATAGCTCCATCCTTCACTGTTACAGTTACTTTTAGGAGTTGATGACTTATTTAAACTAAAACAGATTCTGAGATGCTCTTAAGTTTTTCTAACCCAGTGGCTTGCATGCATGTTCTCTTCTGCATTTGGTGTCTACATAGACATAGTGAAGGAGTCCATGAATGATTGTGCTTACATGAACAACACAGTGTATGCATTTTGTCTTGTTTCTTTAGACATAATTTTAGGTTTCACATGCAGATGACTAAAAGGTTTTGTAAGCAATGACCAGGTCAAAGCAACATAACTTCAACTAAATTTTATAACCTCCTCTAAAATTGTTTATTGCTGAAAAAAGCACTTAATCTCTAACTAAATTCACCTATAAGGTTAGATAGTGTATCTGAGATTTTAGCTGTATTTTAAAAAATTATTAAAATACAAATTAGCTCTGTCTTTTCATCTAACCTCAGTTAAAATGTATCACTACTTTATAACTTAGATTCTGCAAGTAAAAATATAGCCAAGTATTTGACTTAAAATTTTTAATTGTCCTGTGTGAAAATCAGGAAAGTATCATTATATAAATCTACAGAGCTTGTATATCTGAGTTTTTAATTGTACTTTTCACTGCGTTCAACAGCAAATGTAATCAAAACTCTATGAACTATAATGTATCATGTTTATATAGGTAGGTAGATACTGATGTTAGTGTTTAAATGTTTTTCTAGGATTCTTTTGGTCACTTCCACCAGGTATGGTATGATGACCCTCGCAGCATCTCTTTAAAAGCAGCCTATGTGAAGAATCGGGGTTTAAGGGGCATTGGCATGTGGAATGGAAATAGTCTTGACTATTCCAGGGAAGCTATAGCAGAACAACAAACTGAAGCAATGTGGCAAGCCCTGACACCGTAAGTGTGAACCCTGGATTTAGAATGATGAAAATTGGTAAATTTTTATTATGGCTTATACTATAATAGATTTTGACTTTATATAAATATACCATGACTACAAAAACTTTGAGAACTAGCAAAATTCCTCTTGTTATTTTGTATGCAAAGCCATATTTTCATTCTTCAAAAAGTTCCAATGTGGCTTAGCAGCGTTTTTTTTTAAAAGATGGCTCATCTTTTTCATTTTTCACAACTACCATAAGTTGGTTAAAGCTTAAACCCAGTGTGTATCTGGTAACAAGTAAGACCAAGTGATGGATTTACAGGGGCAATCTCATAATGATCCTTTGCTAAAGCTGCCTGGTGCAGCAAGTATTCATTCTGGGGTCGCATGGTGCAGTCTTAGCTTCCTGAGAATCTATATTTTAGCTAAGTCACTCTTGAATCAGATTAAACACAGAATACTGGAAAGACAGATTGTTGCTTACTTGGTGAAACTTGTGCTTGTACTTGGTTACTTTTCTAGAGATTAAAATATTTTATAGACTGAAGAAATTACGTAACATGAAGTAGTTGCCATCAAGATTTTTATCAGACTTGTTGTTAGAAAGGAATATTCAATAAACTCCAGTTTCACTGTGTTTATGTATCACGTAAATTCCTTAGTTTCAAAAGCCAAAAGTCTTGGACCTTAGCTTGAAGAGAGACCATTAATATGGAGAGAACTCAGATGATGTTGTCTTCCATTTCAAACTTCTTTACTTCCCGAAAACTAGAACTCAGAAGCTTATTTAATGAACTGGATATGTATTTTTCCACACACTTTAAGATTCATTCAGTAGCCTGTTGTTTGGTTTTATGTGGTGTTGCCTCTGAGATAATATGAGGTTATATTTTTCTTTCTAGTTCATATTATTCGTAAAATAATTTGCCTGGAGAAATTGTGTAACTTTTTAAAATATCTGTAGTGATGGAAAGATTGACTGGTGTTTACAGGATTTTTTTTGTTAAATAAAATGCTGTCTTCACTGCGGTTGGTAAACAGTGTTGTCTGTTTATGCTTTACTTGTTCCACAGCTTACAGCCCACACTGCTTCTCTGCTTCTCAGAACTATTTCACAACCAGGTTAAAGTGCAATTGTGCCCTGCTTCAGTGACTCCATTAATTAAAAAATGTATTTAATTAGATATATGTAGTCAATTGTGTGTGGGGGTGTGTGTTTGTTTTGATTTTTTCCCTTGCTAAATAGTTACTGGGAAAACACCATAGAATAGCAGCACTACCATAATGGCTACTGAGGAGAAGACTAGAATACTTCATGTGAGTGTCTGACTGCTTGATACTACAGGTGATGAAAAACAGGTGATGAAGCCTACTGCTCTTACATAAAGAAAAAAAATTCCCTTGGAAAATCAGAGGGCTCTTCACTAGAACTGTGGTCTGTAGGTTTTAGGAGAAATGTATTACTATTTATATTCATATGCTAAAATACTGTGAGATAGGCATTTGTGAAATTGAGAGGTCTTCTGGAGCAGATGATCTGACCTACACAATCCTAACTGAAGGCCAGATGACTTTATAATAAAACTCTCTCCTGTAGCAGTCAAGAATCATGAGCTGATTTTTTTTTTTTTTTAATTTAGGTTCAGATTTTCCAGTAGCTAGTTGCCTGCTCTTGTGTCTTAAATAAGACACAATTCTGAAATACAGGATGTAGGATTCAATCCTGAATGGAGCAAAAGTGGTTGTAGTTTTAATAATTAATTTAATAATTAGTTTAGTAATTAATTTAGCACTAAAATCTTTGTTAAATCCTATCTTTAAGAAAATAAATTGGATAATGGGTGGTTTGAATCAAGACATTTGGAAGTTAGTCCTTTTGAAAGTTGCATAATTTTCTTATCATATTACTGATTTCTCATGAGTGTTTCACTTCCAGTAATAAATACAGCCTTGTCAGCTTCTTAGCTGACACTAATTCCTAGCATGTTATTGTTCTGCTTAATGTAATAACATCTGGTACTGCAAAGAGGCAAACAGGAGAGCTAGAAAAAATTACTATCGAGAAAAGGTTTTTGATTACTCTTTCAGAGAATTGTTATTTAAGCACATGCATGAGCTTGAACTTAAAAAAAAAGAGTATGCAAAACTGTAAGTTGGACCAGGATCATCATTACAACTTGTCCAAGACAAAACTTGCCTCTTCCACTAACTACAGAAGAAAGTTAATGTCCATGTGGCTTTCCTAATAAGAGAAGGAACAAAATCAGCTAGATATGAAATAAGATTGTCTGAGATTTTGTTCATACTTCATAATAATATGGTAATAATACATTGGTAGTTTATAGATAGGCATACTAATAATGACAAAAATATACTTCAGTAAATAGCTAAATAAAGGATTACTGTTGCTGTAGTTCTACAGAAGCTGTATTTTAACCATTTTCCAAAAATTTAATGTGTGTGCCTGAAAATAAGAACAGGTTATAGATTATAGGTTTATTTGCTTAGTAGGTATTTTGTTGATGAAAGAACATCAGCATACCAATGTGATGTTAGACAATTCACTAATTTGCACTTTTAAAATAACTTCTTAGCTTTGTTTTAGACACTTTACTAGGTTAAACTGTATGTTTAAGTAGCTGACAAATCTTACAGCAAGAGTGAGATTTAAAAAGAAGTGAGCTCAGTAACTCAGTAGCCCAGTATACAAATTCCACAACATTTATATAGTTGATGTCTTACAAGATAACTTCAAGAACATACAAACAAATGCTCTGAAATTCTGAGCTTCTGTATACATTACAGAGCTTCTGTAGACTTTACAGATGTTAAAGTCATGTCATCCTCTTAAATTCCTGATTTTCTGGACTGGAGAATTAAAGCTGAATGAATCTTCTTCTGTGTCAGTTCCATTCTCAGTACTCGTAAATCAGATGCTGCCTGCTTTCTCATCTGCAGAAGAACCAGTAATTTAAGGAATTGCAATTTAAGGAAGTTTTTGGAGTTGACATGCATATGGGTTTATATAACTAAGATTGAATTTTATACAGGGTGGCTGAATACAGGATATGTCTTTCATCTTTAAAATTTTACACATCTAATTAGATAGCCTAGTTCTAGTACTGCTTTATTCTGTACTTCACCTTGGTATTTTTAAGAGACAACTGTGAAATTCATTGCTCTTTCCACTCCTTATTATACAATGGAGGAGGCATAACAAGTACATCCAACCCTAGATTATCCAGTAAACAGGGGCATGGGTAACCTCTGTGATGTAGAGGACTCCTATTTCAAGCATTCAGAGCTGAAAAGCTATCCAATGTGAAGGCCTATACCATCATCTTCCTTCCAAAGGGAGCCACAGGCAGCACTGGTATGGAATCAAGCAGATAAAGAGGACTGCCATCTGCTTAGAGAGCCGTTCTCTTTTTTTCTTTCCTTTATACCAGTTTTTTTTTTCTTAGCCATTGTCTACTACTGATCAGTGCCTCACCAAGTATGTTCCTTCAATTACCTTTTGAGTGAAATGGGAATTTTATGAAAGAGACTGTGAAGGTTAGCTTACATAGTACCTTGAAAATGTAAGTTGCTTGAATGCCATATGTTCAAAATCATCTAATAACCTGGTGTTCTGGAGTAATTTGGCTCAAGTGATAAAGTTACGATGACAACTAACACCATAAAACTAACAGCATAAAACAGTAACTGTTTAGCAAATATTTACATCATCAAATGTTTGGGAAGATCTAAGTTTTTGTATACATAGTAACATTTCAACTGTTTTAATTAAAAGGCAGAATACCTTAATTTCTATTACAAGTTTCATTTTTGTATCATCCAGCTTCCTCCTCAATTGATCGAGTTCATGCTGCACTGTAGTAATCCGGATGATTGTGTAATTCTATATGAAACCACAACAAAAACAAGTGCAGTATTAGTGCATCTATTCATTCATTGGGTGTTACTTCACCCAGAAACCCAGAAACTTCACTCAGAAACAATCCTCTAAACTCTTTCCACCTCCCCTGCTTTCTTCCAGTCCTTAAAGTGTGCTGGGCTGTCTCTGGTCTGTAAGCAGTCTGCTCTCCAAGAGAGGGCAGCTCCCTTCTGCTGCCAGCCCTTCAGCTGGGTGCGGAGGTTCTTCCACTCCCTGTTGCTTTGGGAAGTTAAGATCCAGATCAGATCTCTTCAGTAACAGCACATATTATTTTGCAATTATCTTTTATGGCTACTCCCCATTTATAATAAAAAGGCATACTTCAAATAATTTTTTTTCTCTCACAGGCTTAGCATCACTCTGTCACAGTACATTTATTGATGAGATTGCTACATTCATGTAATGTTTAATGCAGATAAACCCCCGGTTATACAGCACATTAATGTTTTCAAAATATATGTTCTGATACTCGGCTCGTGTAAGTCAGCTGCGGTCCCTTGAAGTCAGTAACACTGAGGGATGGGTGTAGGTGTGTATGTGGTAATCTCTTGATGTTCCAAGCCTTTAAAAATGCTATTAAAGGGCCAGCTGAAGCAAATAATGTGATAAAGTTGCCCATACAAGGAGTCATTAAGTGGTATCTGTAGCCTCTCATCTCTGAGCTCCTGCTGTAAGCGTCTCCCCACCCAGGAGTGTAGCTGCCTGCATACAAGGGATCAAGTCCCAGCTCTGACACCGCACAGCTGTGTATCCCTGGCTGAGACCACTGAGAAAGCATGAAAGGTACACAGTCATGCAGGAAAAAAAACAGGCAGAGCTGTCAGACGAGTTGGGGCTACTGAGGAATCACCATATCATTGGACTGAGTCACCAGTGAGAACAAAGCTGGTGGAAAAGGGGAAACCAGCGACAGTGGGACCTGTTCCCCAGAGCCTGACTCTTCCCGCCTGACTGATGCCTGCCTGGCCAGCATGTAGCTTACGAGGGGTGGAGAGCATACTTGTGGTTAGCCTAATAGCTCATTAAATCCTAGCTACCTTCTGTGTGTGCTAGCCAATAAATAACTGCTGTATGCATGTTA